CAAGTGAAAATGATTATTCTATTTCTTTAAGAATTCAATTAGGAGATTTTGTTTATTCTACTTCTGGTGATTTAGATGGACAAGACAATAGTTCTAGATTTGGTTATCTTTATCATAATGTTGAATCTTCATATAAAGATGTTGTTGGAGAAGTAGATTTATATAAGGCTAATCATCATGGATCAGAACATTCTAATAATGCTGAATGGTTAGGAGTTCTTAAACCAACAGTTTCATTAATTTCATGTGGTCATGGTAATCTTTATAAACATCCAACTGAACCTGCCGTTTCTTTAATGAATAAATATTCAAAGAAGATTTATCTAACTGAAGACTGTAATGCTGCAGTTACTGATAAATTTGATAAAATTGTAATTGTTGGAAATGAAATAATTGTTCATTACCCAGTAGATGGATCTACATTTACTGTTACTGACCTTAATAACACTTTCAAACATTCGTATGATGTGAAGAAAAATAAACCACAAAGAAAAGCATGTGGTGTTATTTAAATTATAAAGGGTAACTATAACTTAAGAATTTGTAATTACAATTCTTCTTTGTCTTAAACTCATTAATAATAAGTTTTTTTACTTTTCTTATTTTATGTTCTTTTTTTTAAATTGTTATTCATTTTTGTTTAAAAAGACTATTATTTTCATTAGATAACAAACAATTTTCTTTGTCTCAAACAAGTTAATAATAGATAAACTTTGGTTTATTCTTCTAAATATTTGTTAGTCCTTAAATTAATAATGTGAATTAACTAATCTTGGGAGAAGAATATTCTTCTCGAAATACTTATTCTTTTAATGTTCTGACACTTTTTGTGTTGATAAATTGTCTTATAATGAGTATAAGAAAGAATTAGCGTATTTTTTTCTTTGAACAAAAGGAGTAATGTTCAATGCAATTTATTACTAAAAGTTCATTTATGTTACTGTGATGAGAGAAAATTCAATTCAGAAGAAAACTCAAATAATATATTTAATACAATAAATAAAAGAATTGGAAAGACTTAAACTAATGCTGAACTAACTAGAAATAGACTATCACAGAATTGAGTTATGTCAATAATTGGAATTTGTTTATTTATCATATTTAAACCATCTTTAATAAAAAAGTAAACACTTATCAATCAAATGAGAGCATTTCTTATTGTCTTATTAATTTCTTTTGCAGTTGCTGGACCAATTATTTGCAACCTTTGTATTGGACTTGTTAATACCCTTGATGGCCTCATCGTAAATAAAGGTGCTGATAGAGTAAGAAATTATATTGATGATCTTTGTGGTAAGGCTGATGGATTTATTGCTCAGCTCTGTGAAAAACTTCTTTCATTTGGACTTGATAAACTTATTGATCTTATTCAAAGTAAAGTCGATCCTAACGCAATTTGTGCTCAAATGAACGCTTGCTAATCATTTGAATTGATTAATTCATTCTTTGTAATAATATTTTTTTTAATTTAATAATAATACCTTTTAAAAATAAAATACTTTTTATATATTTACTTCTTTTTTTAATTTGATTTAGACTATATTAATATTCTTTTATTCTTAAAAGATAGATACATTTATATGCTATTTAATATATGTGTAATAACAAATATATTACTAATTGATAATTTAAAGTAAATTAATTTTAATTAAAGAATGTAGATGGTTATATTTCAGATATTTTTAATTTATATAAACAAATACCAATTCAATTCTGCTATTATCAATCATCAAAGTTTTAATATGATGATAAGATAGATTAAATTTTTAATAAATTAATAAAGATTATAATACATTTGTTTAAATAATAAAGTATAAAAGAACGATAATAGTTATACTTCATACTAGTCTAATATAAAATATGGTTAATATATATTATTAAATTTGTTCTAGTATAAACTCATTTAATAAATTTCATAAAGACTTTCATTTAAACTCAAAAAATGTACTAGAACAATAACAAGGAATTTAAAAATATAATGAATAAATAGAACCTAATATTATTATAACCCATTAATATAACTCACAATAAAATACTTATTAAGTTATATTAATAGTTGATTAAAATACATTTCAAATGAAACTTATTCAATTTAAAAATAACAAAGAAATAATTTATTTATTAGTGATAGTAAACATAATAAAAATATAATTGCCTATAACTAAAATAAGGTTGGTCTATTTCAATAATAAAAGGATTATCCAATCTCTAGAAAAGAACTAATGTAAGGATAACAACTAATATAATTTAAAATAATTAACATTAAACATTTAAAGAATAATTTAAAAAAATAAATGAAAAATTCACTTATTCAGTCTTTAACACCATTACTTTATTTATTCATTGTCGGTTATGGAGGTGTGTTTTTGAATATAACAAAAAATTAATTTGTGTTAAAGATTATTACAAAGAAAGGAAAATAATAATTTCTTTGTTTTAAATCAATTATTTTTATTATAACAATTTTCATGTTGATAAAATTGTGTTATTAAAAAATAATAAAAAAATAATTAAAATATGATACAAAACAAATTCATAAAGAGATAAAAATAACTAAAAAGAATAATTTAAGAATTAGAAAAAAACTAAACCCCAAAGCACAGTAGAACTTGAAAGGGTTTTGTCAAATTGCAGGTTGATGTCTGGAAAGGCTAATAAGCAAAAGCAA